CTGGCATCTGCTAAGCCTTTCCCACGAGCCTTCTCACAGCCACTGATGGCAGCACTGAAAGTCCTGCATAGGAGTTCTGGCCAAACACGACCACCTCTGTGCTCTCCCTTCAGCCCCCGTTCTCCTTTCATTTGGCTCTACCATTTCTTCTTGCATGCCTGCGCAGCTGGGACAGTGACAGATTAACATGTCCTGCATCGGCACCATGCATTGCAAGAAGATTCCGCGTCAGCCAAACTATCCGGCATCTCATTGACAGGAGGCGCACACGCACAAAACAATGCAGCCAAGCCCCCATGACACATCCAACCTGCCATCTTTGCCAAGCCGCGCTGCAGAAGCGCCACAGCTTCCAGCCATCTGCCATCTCCTCGCTACATAGAAGCAAGCCATGACACCCAAACACAGACCAAGACAAATGGACACAAATACAAACACACCCACCAACACAAACACAGACGCACACACAAAGACAGACAGACACACAGACACAACACAAACACAGACACAAACACAAACACAAACACTGACACAAACACAGGCACAAGACACAAACACGCAAAAGCACAAGCACAAAAACACCCACCAACAAAAACACAAACAAAAACACAGACACAAACACAGACACAACACACAAACACAACACACAAACACACACAAACACAAACAAAAACACACACACACACACACAGACTCACACACACACAAAGACACAAACACACAAACACACAAACACGCATAGACACACACACACACAGACACACAGACACACAAACACACAGACACACAAACACACAAACACACACAGACACACAGACACACAGACACACAGACACACAGACACACAGACACACACACACACCACACACCACACACCACACACACCACACACCACACACCATACACCACAACACAACACAACACAGCACAACACAACACAACAACCCAACCCAACGCACACACGCAGGCACGCAGGCAGGCAGGCAGGCAGGCAGGCAGGCAGGCAGGCAGGCAGGCAGGCAGGCAGGCAGGCAGGCAGGCAGGCAGGCAGGCAGGCAGGCAGGCAGGCAGGCAGGCAGGCAGGCAGGCAGGCAGGCAGGCAGGCAGGCAGGCAGGCAGGCAGGCAGGCAGGCAGGCAGGCAGGCAGGCAGGCAGGCACCCACGCACGCACGCACAAACGCACAAACGCACAAACACACACAAACACACACGCACACGCACACCGCACCACTCCACTCCACTCCACACCACATCACTCCGCTCCACTCCACTCCACTCCACCACACCACACACACACACGCACACACGCACACACGACACACAACACACACACACACACGACACACCTGCATGGCCGACAGTCGATAATCCCTTGCTGGATTCATCTCATGCTTATTACGGCCTTTACACTGGCATTAACAAACTTCCGATTCGCCTGCTGGAAAAGAATCTGATGCCCTGTGCTGGCATCTGCCTGCCTTGCATGCCGCAAATTAGCACCCTGTCCTGAACAGGCTGCAACCGCCTCAATGCGTGTTGGAAGGGGTTGACTGGAAAGGCAATAAAAGCAAGCAAGCGCTGCAAACCAGAAGCTGCTAGTCACTGTTTCCAGGATAGTTGAGAACTGCTTCGATAAAGAGAGCCATCAAAACAAGCAAAGCAGCTATTGTCAGAACTAGATATGTGACTTACGCCATCTACAAACTTTGATATTGAAAAGCCCTCGGGATAGCCTGTAGCAACGCCCAAGCAAACAGTCAAGCAAGGGTAGATGGATGGGCCGGAAAACCATGCCTGAAGAACTCATCCCATCACGGAACAACACCACAAAGGGCTTTCAGTGCATGCGGGCAAGCCTGTGCTTGGACTTCAGCAAACTCATGCCGCCAAGAAACTGCACTGTAGCAAATGGTGTCGGGCGTCACTTGCCTGGACCAGGCGACTGCACACGTGAGAATCAAGCATGTGAAGGATTGCCGGTATGGAGTCCTTCCTTCCTGCCCCCCTCCCTTCCTGCGCCCCTCCCTTCCTCCCTCCCTTTCTCTCTTCCTTCCTCCCTTCCGCCCTTCGTCTCATCCCTTCCTCTCCTCCCTCCCTTCCTTTCCTCCTTTCCTACCCCCCTCAATTCCTCAAGTCTCCCCATTCTCCCTTCTCCCTCCCTTTCCTCCCTCCCTTCCCTCGTCCCCCCCGTCCCTCCCTCCCTCGCTCCATCCCTTCCATCCCCAATCCAAGAACGGCAGCACACAGGGCTTGCAGACTTCAACGATAAGACATGACACGCCGTTCTTCTCCCGGGAAAAGTTGGGCATCCATGCGACGTCAGGCCCGAATGTGACCACTGCTTGCACCCCCTGCCTTGCATGAAGCTCTTCTAGCAAGCGCAGGGACTGGTGCCAACCGCGCATCATCTTTGTCGCGGTTTTGATCACATTGCCTGCGTTTCTCGGAACTGCAAAGGGCTCACAAGGGGATGATTCGAACATATTACAATTATCCAGTTGCAGCCGCAAGCGCGCTAGCACAACAATTTAGGCCCGTGAGGCTGAACGAACCTTGTGGAAAAATCACATCCAGTATTTGTATGCGCACTGCCGTGAACTCGTCCAAGTGCAAAGAGACAGGCAAGCGAACCTTGACTGAAGTCCATCTTGAGTGGACTTTGCCGCCATGCCACTGAGGCACCTGAGCTGAAATGCTCGAAAAGGACCTTGCAAGTACCTTGCTGCTATTCCGGCTCAATCTCAGGGCCCCTCCTGCAGCTTTCGCCATGCACCATTGCCACGCCACGCGCCGCGTCACAAGCCAGCAGCGTGCTGCCAAGCAAAACCGGGGTGTGGTTGGGGGGCTGGTGGCCAAAGTAGTGGACAGCGAGTGCTGAGCTGAGTCTTCCAGCTTCCGTGCAAAGCTACTGGCCTGTCACGCCCGTTCCTTTTGGCATGAGGCGTTCTACAAGCCAATGCTTTGGGCTTCACCTGAGCCAGGAACGTGCCAACACGCTGTTCCCTGGCCACAATGTTGGGTTTCCTGGTCAGCTTCCGCCCAGAATGCAACTGAACACACGCATGGCCAGCTCGCATTTGAAGCACGCTTGCCGCTCTTTCGCACGGCTTTCGCGCGCAATCTCTTGCTGCGCCTCGGCATCCTTGGCCTTCTGCTGCTGCACGTGCTCCTCCATCCTGTCATTGCCACACACAAACTAAGATGCGTCAGATCAGTCGAACGCAAGTTTGTGTAAGTGGAAGGTTCCTCTCGAAGACATGTCAGGCACACTCAACCATGATTTGGCGGCGTATAGATGACTCCATGGCTCCTGGCAATGTATCAAGTAGAACTGCAACTGACTCCAATCACATTCCACATTAGGCACCTAAGCAATTCAACCTGCCAAGATGACAAAGCTCGCTAGCCAGCCGGCACCTGTTTTCTTCACAAATGCAATGAAGCCTTGTGATTTGAAACTCTGAGCCTGCCTCCTGCACCTATGGATTCTCACGCAGGCCAGGTTCGCTTCTGATCATAGCATGCGAGGGCGCATATTTGGCCTGCGTGTAGCAAGTGCTGTTGTTACGCATCGTAAAATGACCCTCGTACCTCGCTTGATCCAATGGGTTGTTCCACAGGCCTGTGCACTGCTGACTCGACTCGAAAGCGGCAGGGATTGCTGGGACACGCTAGGCTTTGATTGCTTGTGACCCTTCGAAGTCCATGTTTGAGCTTTTAGGGTCAAAATTGACCGTTTTCGCACGGCGCTCGTGTTTTCACTCAGGGATGCGCAAAGCAAACCAGGATCTTGCCCAAGTTTGCGCTGCTTAGTACAGGCTGAAAGGCTGAAACTTGAAGCCGGCAAGCTTGCCACCAGCAAGGCGCTAGCGTTTTCTGGTTGCTCGGTCTTTCAGTTCATGCGCTTGGTGGGCAGCTTGACCGACCCGGCATCCGGAAATAGCAAATAAGTCATAATCAAAACCTGGCACTAAAATGATCTACCCAGAACCATGTAAAGAATTACAAAGGCGGCTGCGCCCATTGATGGTTGGGATCATCCCTTACTAGTCTTCATCTAGCCGGGTTTTGATTGTGGCTCAACTGGCATCGAGGGCCAGGCACCCCGCAAATCCAGCGGGGGGCCTTTTAAGAGGACATGGCTCTTCAGGATGGAACATGCTGGTACTTTCTTATCTAGACATTTGCTTTGATCATGCCCCGCCCGTTGCCAAAGAAGCGCCAGAAGTTCGATAGCAATGAGTCACGCGCTCCCAAACAACATGTCGTCCGCTATGGCCCCTCCAGCTGCAGTTTCACTTGAAGTCGGTCAAAGAAGAAAGATGTTGGACAATGTCCCAAGACACACCGCTCTGCATGAGGCTTAGCCATCCCCAAACAACCTGCACTACGGAGGTCCAACAGACTTGGAGTCGCTTCCACAGCAACGACATCAGGAGCAAGCGCAAGCATTCGCATCAAGCCTGCGACGGCATCGATTCTTCATATTGATATGTACACTCAGGCTTTGGGCAGCAGGCAGTAATTGCGGGAAAGGCGCTTGCTGCAATCTCAGCTGGCCTGCCCCGTTCGCCTCGCCCCAAGCCTTCCCACCCGCATCGCTTGAAGAATGGTCCACCCCGAACCCGCCAGTGAACGGCCCACCCCAAGCACTCTGAACCACCCCTCTAGCGAGAAGCTTCCCACGCGCGGGCGCACCCAAAAAGCATCTTCGCCGGCCCAGCTCCCAGCAACCGGCGAAAATGTCATACCCTCATGATAGTTCAGTGGGTGCGCGGCTTGTAAATTTGCAGCCTGCCATACCACCGCCTCGTTTCTTTGCAAAACCAAGAAAGCTAAGGCCCAAGAGAGGAAGCTGCGACCCAAAGGCTGCTTTGCCCCAGCCGAATAAAATCTCACAAACGCGGTGACATGGCCCCGGCGCATTGGAGGTCATTGCCTTGGACCTCCCCTATCAGGCCGTGCAAGGGAACTAGATCAAACAGTTCCAGGGCGCACATCAGCACATCCATTGAAAGGTTGGGAATCCTGTCACCACACGCAGAGTCATAATTTTGCTGTTAGGGGCCAGCACGAGGGCAACGACCCCCCCTCTGTGTCTGCTCGATGTGCAGCAAGGAGTGCCAAAGTGACCTTCTGCCTGAGGTAATTCCAAGCGACATGACAAAGTCTGACATCCTGAAAAGTGCCGGAGCACGAGGCAGCATGTTCGCGCGCGCACACACACACACACACACACACGCACCGTTAAAGTGCAAGCCACTACCAGCATTCACATACATGAGGCTTGCATATTGAATTACATTAATGTCAAAAGTTGTTGGTTGAGTGTGCTGCCAATTGCGCCCTCAAAGCCCGAAAAGGAAAAAAAAAAAAAAACACTTGCGCAACTGCCAAAGTTGGCAGCTGCGAATGTCATTTGCATGTCCTTTCGGAAACATGGTCCAGCCTCCTCCCGTGAGAACATACAAACCTTCAGTAAGCCGTCATTGCAAAAGCCTCTCTGCCCGGCTAACGCTTCGCCGCTTCCCTGGAAAAAGCCAGCTCCGATTGTCAGGTCGCCAACTCCATACCTCGCACTCCAAACCCAGGCCTGGAAACCTAGCTCCGGCCCCGCTCCAGGCACAACCGGCGAGCATCCAAAGCTCTCGGTGGGGATCTTCGTTCCATGAGCCATCCATAAACTCGGGATGCCTGCCTCTGTACATGGCCAGGAGCCCTTATTTGTTGTACCAGTGCGACGCACTATCGTAGGCAACTTCCTACTGAGCTGGCGCTCACAAGTCTATCTACAAGCAGTCTCGCGGCAAGCCCATCCCCCCACTCCTGCCGCACTCACAAAGGAGTTCGACCGCTTTCAGGCGTTTAGACGGTTTAGACCAATTGCGGGATCGCACCAAGCCGGCCTCACACGTCGGATGCAGCAGGGATGCAAGGCTGCTGGGCCACTGCGCAGGCTACGCGCCAGTTGCTTGCCGTCCACGGCATCTGAGGGAACAATAACCATTGTTTGGCCAGTGCCCAAATGGGTCACACCCTTTGCATGACACTCTTCAACTCAAGCGTGGTCTGGAAACATGCCGGAGCACAACATTCCAGCATCAAGGCCGCAATAAATGATCACCCCATCATGTGGTCAACGGGCGACACAACTTGTGCTACATGTGGGAACCCCTTGTGCAACTCTGGCAGCCTTCGAGGGCCCGAGGATTTTGGGCCCGATCCACTCGCAGCCCATGTCGGCACATCGGCCGTGGCGCAGCAAGGGGAAAGAGTCACAGGCCGGTCTTGGCCTCATCATGGTTTTCAAAACTTGCTATCTTCCTCAAGCTCCACCCCAACCAAAGAATTGTCGTTGCACAAGCCTTGCGAGAGAACAAAAGGTGATGCTCCAAACCGCCAAAACGGGATATCACTCGGAGCTCTATGTTTGTTCATGCATGGTTTTCTATCCGTGCATGTAGCATACAAATCGCCTGAACATATTCTGACCGGCTCGCGTCTTTGGATCTCGCTGCAAAAGGCACACCGGGTGTGGCCAAAACTCAGTCCAGGCTGAGGTGTGCCGCCTTGAGGTGAGGGTCCTCCCCAAGACCTCTCCGTATCTATCTTCTTAGACATTAAATTGAAGAAAACTCCCGTTTGCCTCGAAAGGTGACGTTTATATAAACAGATCAGCCAGCTTACGGTTCAAAGGGTGGCTGGTAGACAAACAAATGCAAACCCTGGGCAAAGGGGAAGGATGTGCTGAGCCTTCGACAACACTTGAGCGTTTTTTTCTTAGATTTGATTGGACCTTCCGCATCCTTGCCCGCGGGCCAAGAAGTCCCTTCTGCGGACTCTGCAGCACATGCATAATTTTCACAAGTTTGCTTCCGCAAGCCTTCCGTGCATTGGCGCAGAAAGGAAAGTCAGTTGTTTAAGAAAGTAAAGAAACTCATGTTCCACCCGTGTTGGTGCAGCGTGTGTAGGCTTGGGCGCTCTGTAAACCTTCCGCGGCATCCGCCTGCTGTGTTGGTCCTCTTAGCTTGCTGCTGGCAACTGCTCTGCTAGCAATTAAGCGTTGCGCTTCTTGTATGCAGCAACACTGTTCTGCTTCTACTGTTGTCGTTTCCCTGTGCTTTGCCATGCGCACGAACTGAAACCATTCATATCAACCTCAAAGCTTCCGCAAATGCTTTGCGAAATCCCTTCCGCGAAGCCTTCCGCATGCTTCCACGCATGTGGCGCAGAGCACATTTTCAGAGAAACATGTCCCTCTCCCTACCCCTTTAGCGGGCCAAGAAAAGCAGCTCAATTGGCGCGGGAAAGCAAACGTTGTTCAGTGATGGGTCACTTCTTTAGTCACGCCTTTGCCTCTTGAGTGATCTCGCGGCAAATCTCATGCCTTTTTTAGCAAGTCCCCGGTAGCTGGATGCAAGTACGCTCAAGCATTCGACGTGAGCTCCAGGCACGCTTCCTGTCTTCCACCTACAGAGCATGCCTTGCACAGGACTTTGAAGGCACTGACATCCAGTCCTAAGGACATGCCGAATTGCAGTCATCTGCATCTGTCTCCGACTTTGTACATCGACTTCCACGCCCAATCGGCCGAAGTCTGCCCGGCCGGGTCTCCAACTCTGCCGCTTGGGTGTGCCTTGGGCCCATGTCGCACTTTGTGAACTCTTTGTGATCTCAGGCACAGCCACAAGCTGCCACATTAGCTGGGAAACCGTGGGAAGTCCTCCAGAGGAGAGCCTGTACCAGCTCAAGGATATCACCTGAAATGCCCAGCTGGCACAAGCTCCCACGAGAGGTCCCCAGTGGCCTCCCGGAACTGACAGGAAGAGATGCTGCATGCAAGTCATTCCGATGTGTCCAGATTGCTTGTGCGTCGCCAGTCAGGCTTCTTAGGAATGAGCCCCATTCTGCAAGCGAGACAAAGCACATGACAAAACTTGGAGCTGCACGGCCAAAGCTGGGCAACCCGTTGAGATGCAAAGGCGATTCGAGTCGAACATGACGAAACCCATGGTGCCCTGTTCGGACAAATTGCCTTGCTTGAGTTGGGGGCAGCCCTCGCCCCGAAAGAGGAGTTGATCCCTTGGCAAAGGCTCCTGACTGACTCAGACGCATCATGCAATCTGCCATGCACAAAGACACGTTTTTGTTCCGCCCTCTCGGGCGCGAGGGAGTGGCACCAGCATCCCAGGCCTGTCATACACTTTGCATCCACTCGCCTTCGCCTGAGATGCAACCAGCCAATAGCACAGATTTCGGCACCCAGGGCACGGGCCCTCGGTCTGAATTCATGCGCAGCTCACCATCCTGGGCCAAAGAGAAATGAAAGCAAGACTAATTAACAGATATCACACACACACACACTTGTGTGTTATACATGTGAGGCACGGTCGAAAGTACTTACTTGCGGCCGTGTGGGGCATCGTTCTTTTGAGAGTCCCCTATCGTTTTCCATGGTTTTGTGCATTTTCACATATCAATGAAACGCCTAATACCAACTCAACAGAAGTAATTTTGACGGTACTTCATATGCGTGTTTGTGTGCAAAGAAATGCGTATGCACCCATACTCAAAAAAAAGCATTCATATGCTCACCATTGGCAGGTGGAGGCAAACATGGCCTCATATGCCTTCTAGAAAATGAGTCATTGGGATGAAAATAACATTGCCCGCCTCGAATGAAGTCAATTTGCGCAGCTGGCGTGGTTGGGGACCTTCCATTGTGCCATTGATCTCTGTGAGTCACACCTGTCTATGGCTTCATGGCTTTCTCGCTTTTGGCTGACATCATTGACATCTTGCTGGAACATGCCATCAGCTCAAGCTTTTGCGGTTGACATGATGTTTTGCTTCGCCACGTTGCTTGATTCAGGGCGTCAGTAGGTTTGTTGGTTGGGGCATCTCCTGGCAGCAGCAACCTGGCTTCCTTAAAGGATTAGGTGCTGGGATTCAGTAGGTGCAAACGGAAATGCACCCGCTCTTGGATGGATCTCTGGTGCAGCCCTTCCGTCTGAGGGCTGAACAGGAGGCGATGTCAGTCCTGGATGCGGGGCCACCCACAAAATGGCAGGTCAGCGCTGCAGACTGCCAGGAGGCCAACTCTTGGCTGCAGGCCCTGGCCCTTGATGGCAGGAAGAGTTGCGAACAAACACATGCATGTTTGGTACTGCGTGCTGCGTTTTGACAGATTGAAAAACCGTGGCAAACTTGAATTTCAAGGGACTGCTGAGAACACTCAACACATGCTGGCCAGCGCACTCGCTCAAGTTCTCACAAGGCTACGCAGCTCTCATTCCTACCTGGATGCTGCCTGGTGTGAGTAATTTGTGTCTCTGCTACCTTAGCTCGACTTCTTCCCCTATGGCCGACCCGCAGAATTGAAGAAGGTTCGCTGATTGAGCAACTTGCAATTGGATTGATTCCTTGACAGCCTTGATAGCTCTGGATGTTGCCCGTATGCGCCAAGTGTTTCATGTGCAAAAAGAGGTTCTCACCACATCACAAAGATTTTGTTTTGGAGTGGCGCACCCCATCACACAAGCATCCGTTTGTGCTTGTGTGGCACTAAAAGCCAATTCTATAGCTTCGCTCCCGCCTGCACGGAATCGCCTGTCAGAAAAGCTTGGCTGCAGCATCACTGAGTACGTTCGAACTGACTAGCAGCCTGTAGCTGGTGGTTTCAGTTGATAATCATGAAGTGAGGAGTGCGATAAGGAAGCGAATCATGGCACTGTGGAACCCTCCTGTCAACAGCTGCCGAGCAGGCAACACCCACATACAAACCCCCCCACCAGGGGTAGCTTTGCTTTGAGCAGTTCAAGCAGCAAGAAAAAGTGTTGCCATCGAGTGGCCCGATTTCTTTTCATAACGTTCCGCTGGCTGCAAGCATACAACTGCAGCTTTGATCGCAATATCGCTCTGAGCTTCTATCAAAAGCAGGCTTTGGGTATACACCTTGCGAATCGTGCAACAAAGGGCGCCGGCTCCGGCCTTCGATATGCATGTGACAAATGCAAGCCTTTGGCCAAACCACCATTTATGGCAAATGAAGAATTCCCCCCTGCGCATCGCCAAATGTCTAGCCTGTTCGAAATCCCGCGAGCCTAATTGCAATCCGTAATCCGCTTAACCCTTGGTTTGGTTGGACATCTTCTTAATCCGCAATCCACACTGCAAACTGTGGGTCAAAATTGCATGTTAGAGCTTAGAAAATCCGCGCAACCCATAATCCGCAATCCGTAAGCTGACATAGTCCGCGCAATCTCTAATCCGCTAATCATCGGAGGTTAGGTTTTGAACAATGTTCCGCGCTGCCAGTCCCTTCCCGCCTTTGGCCTTCCGGCCCCGCCGCGACCGATCGCGGCCTGGCCCGGAATTTATGATCAAATGGAACACTGCCTCTCGTTCAACCTAGTGCGCAAAGCAACTTCTTGACTCCATGACGCTGCTTTCAATATCGCTTCAGGGTACCTCCTGAAATCTACATCCCACCCTCCAACCATGAGCAGCCAACAGGAAGCCAGGCAAAATCATGCTTGGCGGCTTTCCAAAGCACTTCCAGTCGCGAAGGATTGCTTGTGGCCTTGAAGACTTACTGCACGCCCGCAAAAAGCTGCCACAGTTCGTGCAATGCTGCGGCTTGCAGGCCAATAATCCTGTCAGAGTCTCGATCGCCCTCCTCATACTGCTCCTGCATCGTGGCAAGCGCTGCCAAAGGCAGAGCCCCACTGACACCCGGTGATAGGGCATGACATAAACCCATCAGCCCATACAAACTCGTGTAAACCATTGAGCCCCTTACATCTCACCTTCCACAAGATGCACATGCCGGGCAAAAAGTTGTAAATGAAGCGCCCAGCCAGGCAAAAGTTTCACCTGCACGCCGCCGCCTTAAAGGTGGTCAAAATCTTTGGCCTACCACTTTGAACCTCGGGCTGCCATCCAAACGGCGACATGGAGAGTTGCAGTCTCCTCATTCCAGTTCGCACTGCGCTCCTCAGGCTGCCAGGCAAAAATGCCCTCTCACGCTGGCTCCAGCTTGGTTGCACGTCAAACTCGTCAAAGCAGTTTGGGATAGGGAGTCTTGGACTGGGGCGACAAACACAAAAAACAAACTTGATGGCTTGCCCGTGAGTAGCAGACCGGCCAACTGCCTAAGGAAGAAGCCACAATTCCTGCCTGGTCAAGATCATGGTGCACCAGCGGGCACTGCGTCCTGAAGACTGCTGCACTGCAAAAAAGCTGCTGCCGCTTTTTCTGAAGGACACTGCCAAGAAGAGCTTCAGCTTGCACGAAGACTGTTCTGCTGCGGGCTTATGTGACAAGAGACGTGTGAAAGAGATGCGCCGAGGGTTGTGATGAGAGACGCGAGTCATTGTGAGTATTGGTTTGCTTCGTTCGCTGCAGCATTTCCAAGCTGTCTTTGGTTGCGGGGCCCTCCCCGCCCTCACTCGTGTTCCAAGCAGTTGCGCTACAGATTTCGGGATCTGTCTAAGTTGCACACTATTTCCTAAGATTGGTGCTGGGTACCGAGTTGGAACCATCAAGGGGATGTCTTCTGCTTGTGTTGTTGCTGCTTCGCGTGTTCTCGGTGCATTTTGCACTGCCTGCCTGATTAATTATTCTATGATTTAGGAGTGGGACAAAATGTGTTTGGTTGCCTGCTCTCAAAGGCTTGGCGTCTTGTGTTTACCTGTGCTAGGGAGACTCCTTTCTGAGTAAGTATGCATTGTGAAGTAGCTGCCATTCACACGTTTCCCCGCCATTTGCGGAATGCTTGACCTGTATGCCTCAGGTACCCGCCAACTTCCCCCTGATCAGTCCTGGTGCACCTCCCATGGTTGCAGCCACTGCCATGCCGCGCCGCGCACCAAGAGATGCCCTCCACCTCATTCGCTGCAACTCTTTGATCACGATTGGGCGGTTGTCTTAGCAGACACCTGTACGCTGCATACCGTGGCTCAACAGTTTCAATGACAACACAAACTCCACACGTGGGCATCACACAAAGAGCTGAATCAGCGGCTCGAAACACGAATGGTCTTGCTTAGCTTCCTGCAGACAGTGCCTGAAGCAACGCTGCCGCATTGACCTGGCCGCTGATGCGGAGCCATAGCAACGGACTCGACCTCTCTGAGCCTCTGGGCAAACAATCCTTCCAGTGCTGTTTGCCAGTTGTCTGCAAACACCACATCGTGTCGCAACCCAGCTTGCCCCTCGGCATCTTTCAGAAGGTGCTGCAAATGGCCAATGCTACACTCCCAGTGTACACCGCGCCTTGTTGCGGGCCAGCCGCAGCCACACCGGAACAAGCTGCAAGCCTCAGCTTGGACTGCCCATCGCACAGCCTGTCTACAGTTGATGCTTCTGGAGCATTACACTGGCAAAAGTGCGCGCTTGCTTCCCCAACATCTTGGTCGTTGGGTTTCTGGGATGCGCGGCATTCCCCACCTTGCCTTGCATTCCCAGTGCTGCCTACTTTGACAAGCAGCCCACATTTCTGCCAGAACTGAATTCCGAGTGGAAATTCAGATCAAGCAATGCTACAACGACCTCTCCTGGGGCCTGCGCCTCCGGCCTCTACTACCTCTTGCTGCCTCGGCTTGAGCCACCACGCCATTCTTGCCCGGCACCTCCCGCTTCGGCGGATACCTGGCACAAGGACCGTGCAACTCGGCCAGAACCAGCAGCAGCTCTCACGTGCGGCAACTCCAGCAGCCAGAGCTGAAATAGCCCGCGTTGCACAAGGTCAACAAGCCCTCGGGAACAGAAGGAAGCAGGCAGGCAAGCTGCATGTAGCAAACGGCCAAGCGGACAAACAAAACAATTAAACACACACACACAGACACAAGAAGCAAACAACAACCAAACAACAACCACATAAATTCACAAGCAAGCAAGCAAGCCAGGCAGCAAGCAAGCAAGGCAAAGCAAAGCAATTCAAGGCAAAGCAAGGCAAAGCAAGGCAAAGCAAGGCAAGGCAAGGCAACTCAAGGCAAAGCAAGGCAAGCAAGCAAAAGAAGCAGGCAAGCAACATGCTCAAGCAAAAGCTTGAAACAAATACGCAAGCACGCCAACATGCACCCCCACCCCACCACCCAAGGCACAAATACAAACACACCACATAACACACCACAAGAACGCAACATCCACACGCATAAACACGCATGCCAGTCACTCCTTGTCAACACAATGTTCTCGAACAGCTTTCGGGCTTGGCTAGCATTGTATAAATAAAGGGTAAAGAGGGCAAGGATTCATTCAACGTGTACATGAAAAGTCCCACTCGGACTCCCTGTTCTCACCCCCCACCCCCCCACCCCTGCGCGGCAGGGGCAGGGAAGGATATCAAAAAAAAACTTTTTTAACAATCAAAAAAAACTTTTTTAGCAATCAAAAAAACTTTTTTAGCCATCAAGAAAAAACTTGATGCACTCAGGGCTGCATTTACTGAGAAAGGTGTGTATCAAAAGGAACACGCAGTGCACGCGCACGGACACGGTCTCATCACACGTGCTCTAGCTGGGGGGTTACTCTTTTGCGATGGTCTGGGCGTTTACACGACAAAAAGACGTATAGGCCGGGGTTTCCTCATGTTCTTGGAAATGGAAAAACAGAGTAGGAGAGATAGAGCAGGAGAGACGAAGAAGAACAGACAAACAAAAAGGGTCGAGATTTAATTTGTTTTTGTGTTTTATTTTGGGACTTTTTTTCTTTTCCGGACTGGCTAGCAAATACTGCATTTTTTAAAGCATTTTCTCACGAAGTGTACGTGTTTTACACTAGCCCGTCAACATCATCAGCATCGTTTTCAACATCCCCCGCATGTCCAGCCAACATCCCCAGCATCACCAGCAAATCAAATTCCTACATCCTCAGCACCACCAGTTCCTCTCCGGGAAGGCAGGTAGGTATTTATGTATGTATGTATGTTAAAAAGCAGCGAGGGGGTCCATGATGGTGAAAACAGCCTCCCCTTGGGGCAAACAAATTAACAACGTAGGTTAGGGGGGGCGGAGTTCCCCCCCATGATGATCGAACAAGTGATGATTCAATTGGGGGCCACAGATCTCAAAAGTAGCGGGGGGGTTGGGGGGGAGGGGTGGCAGCCCCCCACCATGATGATCAAAAAAATAATGTCTCAACTGGGGCAAAAAATCCGAGAAGTAGCGGGGGGGTTGGGGGGGGGGGGCAGCCCCCCATGGTGATCGAACAAGTGATGATTCAATTAGGGGTAAACAATTTAAAAAGTAGCGGGGGGGTTGGGGGGGCGGCAGCCCCCCCATGATGATCGAAAAACTGATGATTCAACTAGGGGCAAGAAATCTAAATAACCAGCGAGGAGGCAAAACATCTAAAACTTCCCCTTAGATTTTTTGCCCCTAATTGAATCATTCGATCGTCATGCGGCAGCCCCCCGCCCAACTTCCCCCGCACTTTTCGATTTTTTGCCCCTAATTGAATCATCACTTTCTGGATCAGTAGCGGGGGGGTTGGGGGGGGCGGCAGCCCCCCCATGATGATCGAAAAACTGATGATTCAATTAGGGGGCAAGAAATCTAAAAACCAGCGAGGGGGCAAAAAATCTAAAAAGTAGCGGGGGGGTTGGGGGGGGCGGCAGCCCCCCCGCGATGATCGAAAAGTGAGCATTCAAATTGTGGCCAAACATCTAAAAATAGCGGGGGGGTTGGGGGGGCAGCAGCCCCCCCCATGATGATCCAGAAAGTGATGATTCAATTAGGGGCAAAACATCTTGAAGTGGCGGGGAAGTTGGGGGGGGGGGGGCTGCCGCATGACGATCGAAAAAGTCATGATCCAAATGGGGGCCACAAATCTAAAAAAGTAGCGGGGGGGTTTGGGGGGGGGAGGTGGCAGCCCACCCATGATGATCAAGAAAATAATGATTCAACTGGGGCAAAAAATCTGAGAAGTAGCGGGGGGGTTGGGGGGGGGGGGCAGCCCCCCATGGTGATCGAACAAGTGATGATTCAATTAGGGGTAAACAATTTAAAAAGTAGCGGGGGGGTTGGGGGGGCGGCAGCCCCCCCATGATGATCGAAAAACTGATGATTCAACTAGGGGCAAGAAATCTAAATAACCAGCGAGGAGGCAAAACATCTAAAACTTCCCCTTAGATTTGTTGCCCCTAATTGAATCATTCGATCGTCATGCGGCAGCCCCCCGCCCAACTTCCCCCGCACTTTTCGAATTTTTGCCCCTAATTGAATCATCACTTTCTGGATCAGTAGCCAAGAGACCAAAGGACCAAGGGACCAGAGGACCAAAGGACCAGAAATGCAAGGATGAAGGGACCAAGACCAACAGAGCAGAGGCCAAAGATAACCAAAGGAGCGAGGGACCAGAGGATCAAGGGCTCCAGGACCGGGACCAAGGGACCAGGAGACCAAGACCAGGCACCAAGGGACCAGAGGAGCAAGGACCAGGAAAGTGGAGGACCAAGGGACCAAGGTGACCAAAGGACCAAGGGACCAAAGGACCAAGGGACCAAAGGACCAAGGGACCAAAGGACCAAGGGACCAAAGGACCAAGGGACCAAAGGACCACGGGACCAGGGGTGTTCAAGGAACCAGAAAATCAAATGCCAACCAAAAGAACAGAATATACAAGCAGCAGAGTGAGATTGTGGGAAGTTTTTTGTTGATTGCTAGAAAAGTGTTTTCTTGATGGCTGAAAGTTTTTTGTTGATTGCCAAACAAGTTTTTTGATGGTCATCCCTGCGCGGCATCGCAAAATGCACATGTGCCAATGTTGGGCCCCAGCAGGGCGGGCCTGTGCTTCAGATCCTTCATGGTGCGCAAAAGCTCCAAGGCGCCCGAGTCGTCAATCTGGCCAAGCCAAGTTTGCTGAAACTGCGTGTCGACTGATATCCCGAACAAACAATCAATCACCAGTTAACCCACCTGGATTCAGCTTGGGCCCAAAATGGCAGAACTTGGAAACTTGACAGCGTCCTGGAAATAGGTTGGACTTGCGCAATGACAAATCCTCTCCACAGGATGGACGTCAGCGTTTCGTCCGCACTCGCCAAGGACAGGCTTGATTGGGAAAGCCGGGTTCCATTGGGGCAAAGCAATGGGATGTGCTGAAAACCAGATTCAAAGAAGGCTTAAATCTGGATTTAAGTCTTACTTGCTACGGGGTGACAGCCTGGAAAGCCTACGTCAAAGCCTACCAATCGGGTGGGCGGGAAATTGAAATGGCTACCACCCAAGTTCTCGCTGCTCAATTGGCTTCAGGCTTGACATGCCTTCCTTCCAGACGTTTGCTTGACGCTGCTGGATACGTTTGATGCTTCCCCAAGGCTGGCCAAGGTCCTTCAAGGTTCGCAAAACCCAGCCAACAATGCCACAGAGTCTGATCTGTCACAGTTATCACAGTTTCCGGTCCGGCCATTGGCAGGGTCATGCTGTCAAACCTGTTGTGGTCAGAGGAACCATGGCGGAGGACAGGGCGGGTTCTTCTGAATTTGCAGGTGCAGGTGATTCAGGTACCAGCCTCCGACCAACGAACTCTCCAGGTTGCCTGATTGTCCGTGAGGTGCATCTCATAGACTTGCCCTGCACCTTGTGCGGGTTACGCGGCCAACAAATCCTGTCCTCCAAGTGCGATCTTCACGTTCTACTTCCCAGCCTTCCATCTGAAACTCATGCTGACCAAAATCAATCCCAAATACAAGCAGCCAAAGCGGCAACCAGTCTACTCGCACCTTCAACGCAAGGCACTCTGAAATCCTCTAAGGATGCAGCGCTTGTTGCTTTTGATGAACTCACCTACCAAAAAATAAAATCAAAAAAACATCAGCATGTCAATGTACACCAGTCGTACTACACAAAGCTGACATCTGCTCTGTCAGAGCGAAAAGCATGCCGGCTTCACACAAAGAAAGGACACCATTTCCGGTGATCCTGCGCGCATGCGCCGCCATAGGTAGCTCCAGGAGCAAGGGCCAATCTGCAACAAGCAAGCATGTTGCCTTAGCCGGAACGCTCTGGAAAAGCATGTGTTTTCTTGGCAAGCCGCCAATTTCAACAGAATGTGGCTGGCAAGCTCTCCCAAGCGATCCATCTCAAGCACTGCAAGACTGAAAGTGCAGTTTTGCCAGCACAGCTCAGCCGTCCTGTTCTGGTTGAGTTTCAGGTATCCGGCTTGCACCTGGCCAAGGCTTGTTGCATCATACTCAAGCTTCATGCTCGCTGATGCAAGACGTCCAGGTAGGTTGCTTTGATCGATGGCATTGGCTGGCTGAGGGCCGCTACAGAACTGTCTTCGAACCTCAGTGCCACTCAGTAGCTACTGGCACCTCAAACTGGCCCAGGCAGTCCAGGAGCAGCCATAGCCCGTGATCGCTCAGGCCAGAGTGTGCGAAATCAACCTGTCATGAAAGAGTGTGAGTTGTGATACGTATGGCTGGCAGCCATTCCAAGGGACCGTGAGGATAAACAGCTATGTTCAGGCTCAAGTCGGCTGTCACTGCCAGGCGCTCATGCTAATCGGGTGATTTTGTGAAACTACCCATGCCAAAGCTGAGACGGAGATTAGAGTTTGGAGCCTGTGAAGAAACTAGGATCCAAAGCCTTTCAAATTGAAACAACTGCAGCATTCATCCACATCTGTTCGTAAGTTGCGTTGGCCCCACCTCTGCCTGACACTGCCGAAGCACCTTTGATCCATGAGCATCCTGGCGCGACAAACCGTGCAAGCTGGAAAACCAGGTGCCAGTTCTCAAGTCTATGACTTGCAGTCGTGCAAACATTTACAAGCTGACATTCAAATCATGTTAACTTTAGTAGTACTAGAATCTACTAGATCCCGCCTTGAACTCCGAGAGGCGGCGCCGCAACCAAGAGCAGAAGCGCTCCACCGCGAGGTCAGACCTCGATCCGAGAAGCCTCGAAGCCTCTCCTTAAAGACATACGGGTGGGCTGCATTTCCTTAAAAGCGTAGGCCCTGAGGATCAGTCTACCTTGGGGTAGTCAAAAAATGGAACCCTGCGGGTGGGTGCCTTTCTTGGAGGGTACTAAATGACCTGAGCTACTGGATCTCTAGTTTACTTGCGCATTTGGGCAGAGGGCCAGCTCTTTTCCAAACCGCTGTGCAGCCGCTTGGCGAATGGCTTGGAGCAACTTTGCGGGCAGTAAAAATTGTGTTTGCGCGAATGTGTGCGGCTCATGCAGTGAACATCTTGCGACTGCCAAGGTGGGGATCTTGCATTGCCCGATTCAAAGTCCTGACGAGCGCGAACCCTGCCCCAAAGTCAGATCTGGGTGCTGGACAAATCTGACTCCGATCCTGCATCGGATGCTGGCCGCTGCAATTCGTCCCTTATGATAGGCTTGACAGGGAGGCCTGTCACACCATCACTGTACTCGGTGCAGTGATCGTACTGTGCGCGATCCCGCCATGGTCCACTTTCAATGACACTCATTCATTGTGCTTGTGTGATGCTGCTCAACATCAAGGCTGGGTAAAACTGTGATGAGCCCGGCCTGGCATGGACAGCTTGAGACGCCAGCGATCCCCTTCATACCACGTCTCAAAGCATCGCCTGTGCAAATGCCCCCCCTTTCGAAGCCAAGCACGGCCAAACCTTGTGAAAGGGAATGGAAGAACCCAGCAACTCTAACCATGAACAAGGGGGAAAATAATTGCAGGGACATGATCTGACGTCTTGCTGGCGAAGCTGGATAAGGCGCTGCCATCTTGCAGGCCAAAGGAGTGTGAGGTTACAGGTTCATCATTGGTGCATGGTGACTCGCATGAGGGGTGACCGGTGGCAGTGAAGGTGGCGCGTGCGTGCGGTGCGGTTCGCTGCGTCGCGCGACGTGTCGTGCCATGGCGTGGCTGCGGGGGCGCTCGTGAACGGGCACGTGCGCGCACGCGTGCGTGCGTTCATGATGGCGGTGTGGGCTTGCGTGCCTGCGCATGCACGTTGGCCCAAGTAAAGCGCAGCGCCCAAACGGCTGCCAAGCCTTGCCACTCCATTCAGCGTCCGTCGTTTCCAAGCCGTGTCCCGCCATCAGACCCTGTCCTTGCGTCTATTGTTCCGTCCATCCCACTAGAGTCCCTGTCTACGGGCGCCCTGGTGGCACTGGCAGAATCCTGGAATCTTTACATGAGTCGGAAAAGGACATCGGCAAGCACTACGTTGAGAACCGGCACCTGTGCTTTCCGTGGCCTGTGCTTTCCGTGGCCCTGCTTTCCCAGACGCAAAAACATCTCGTACAACGGTTCTGATTTCCATATCCAACGTCGCAAGTCTCCGCTCCGTGGCTGTGCCATGTTGTGCCATTGCATTGCGTGCTTTGTCACGTTCACATGCTAATAAGCAGCGCATGCTTGAAGTGTTACAGCGGCAACGCTGTCCATGGTGCAAGTCAAAGTTGGTCGCAAGCTCAGGCGTGCACTCTGCCATCTTCTCGATACGTTTGACCTGCAGCCAATAGTTTCTGTTGAAGCCAGCTTGAAGGAACCAACATGTCACATCAAGCCATTCATCCATAGCAAAGCCGTTGGCGACCTATCGAGCCGCGTAGTTCTGATTAGCTTTGACGTCAACCGGCCTTTGTTTTAAGAACACAACTGCGGGCACCGAATGCGACTGAGGAATGTGCTGTCCAGTATTCCTTGCCTCGGAAAGGCGCGAATTGCGTTGAATTGCTGGGCAGTTGCCGAAAGCGCTTCTTAGATGTACTTTGCTTTTCGCAAAGGAGCCAGTGTGGCATGCTTGAGCTGGTGCAAGCACTGTCACGGGCATTCTCACCATGGCCGCAGTTGCATTGACAATCCAGGTGTGGCGGTGGTTGCAGTTGCTGGGGTGACGGCTGTCATCCTTCTGCCTGGCAACATGAGTCCGCACCTGCCCCTGCTGAGCGAAAACAGGAGGCTAGATTTGGCCGCGCACGCATCCCCTTGTATTCCGAGGAGAGTGGGCAAAAGCAGGGAAGGGCCCTAAGCCAAGATTGGCGCTGCCGTCCAGGCTCACCAAACACAATCACATACTCATACACACACACACACACACTTGGAGTATCTAATTCTTGGCCATATTACGTTTGTCTTCAGATCTCAGCTTGCCACTTTGATAGCCGCCGGTATCACAAAAGGAGACCCACGCAGAAAAAATCGCATCACGGTTTTGCAAATGCAATGGAGCTGCAAATTTACTTTGCACCTTTGATCAGCCCCAATGCAAATGCACAACAAGCTTGGTCTGTGGAAAATGGCAAAGGGCCGTGACATGCGCTCTACATTCCTATTGCCCAAATAGCCTGGATGTCTCATCTCCTGCCTTCACCTGGCCGGATGCAAGCAATGAGCAACAAGCAGCTGCAAGAATGCTCCTATCTGTCTCTTGGTGCAAGGTCTTCTTTGCCATTTCCATTGTTGTGGGGTTAACCCTCCCATCCTTTCCAGCCTCTAGGTCCAAAAAGCCACCAAATCCCCACACAAAAAACTCCTGATTGTGACCATGGTGGAACAGAATGGGGAATCAACCCCTTGAATTCTGCTCGCAACCCTGTGCAGCCCGACCTCAGCAGGCACCTGTCAGTCAAGAGCACGCTAAGGCTGGCAAGCCACAACCCCCCTTTTGACTGGGCATTGTGATCTTTCAAAGCTGCGAATCTCTTCGGCGCGAAGCACCGGCGAGCGGACTATGAGCAGCCCTTCCTTTGAATTGTCAGGAACTCGACAGCGGACGGTTCGGTTTGCCTGGCCTCCGCAGCCTTCGCCTGGCGAAGGTTCACAAGCAAAATGTTGCCCAGGCCTGAAATGAATGAAGTCATGTCATGAGGACCTCGCCAAACCTTGGCTGCACAGGATTAGGATTGGACATGCTTGACATGCTTAACAGCAATCATGCTGGCATGCTTTCCTTTTTGTCACACCTGGGCGCAGTGAACTTGAGTCTTGGATTCAATCCAACGCACAGTGCATGCACGATCTGCACATATATAGACATCAATCCTAAAATTTGATGAGCGAGGCACCTTGTGGATTGAGAAATCGGCAGGCCCTCACTGAGCAATCAAGCCAACTCCTTCTGCTTGAGTCACTTTAGCGCAAGGCAGCCGCACAATGACCCGTCCGAACTTCTAAGCTGGACTCTGGCAGTACTTCGAAGCAATGACATGTGGTTGCATGTTGGGAGCAGCTGGGTAAACTGGTCAAGCAGTCTAAAGAATTTAACAAGAAAGCGATTTGGATGCTCGCTCACTTGAACACAGAACAACGCGAAATGGAGGCCCTTTGGATTTATGTTACCTGGCCTTGGCGTCGGAGATCATCTTCCGCTCCATCTTTCGGCACACCTCAGCGATGCGCCAGAAGGCACATCGAACATTGCACCAAAAGGTCCTAAGGCAGTAGCCTCCAAGCTAAAACTAGCGTGGCCCTTCTTGAGCAAGGTGCGCAAGCCCCAACTGGCTTGGTGCGTGCCGCGTGCAAACAACAATCAATCGTCTTGAAGCGGCTGCTGAGCATGCCGCTGATTGCAGCATAGAGGAGAGGTTCCTGCCTCAGCAACCGATCAAACATCCGACTTCTCGACCTGTCACCAACCACAGCAACAAACTGCAACTTGGCTAAGATACGAGTTCAGGCCATGCGCGCAACGTTGAAGAGAAGCACGCAGCTGAGAAAACGGCATACTCCGCCTTGCGCTTCTACCAGTTCCTCAACACGCTGCAAAACCTGCGGCTCACCAGCGCAGGGCATGCAAAGAGCCTCGTCCTGCATCAACCTGATTAAAAATCACAGGGCCCTGGGGAACGCAAAGCCCCTCAACAACTTTTCGAGAGGCTGACCTTTTTGATTCTGCATATGCTGATGCTTCTGCGCGTTGGCATGCCCGCGCTCAACCCCATTTGCGTGTGGCATGACTCATGCGTCACACCACAGCCCCGGGCAAAGCCTCCAGCGCATTGAGGGCTGACAGGTTCCTCAAAGAGGACAGGGCACGCCCGTCGATCTCGCTCCTGGCGGCCATTGAAGTACAAGGGCTAGTAGCTCACAGTTTGCAACCAAACCCGAACATGGGCAGAGCAACACCCAACTGATAAACTACAAGAACTAGGTACTCGGTGTGTATACAGCCGCGGGTTTTCGGAACGTTTCTGAAGCAGGGCAAGAAAGCTCCTTGGTCCTAGGCCCTCTTTTTACAATGGGTTTTGCAGCAATGACTTCGCATTGCTGCATCAACAGCGCAATTTGCAAGAGCCGGATGTTGCGCCAAGCTACCCGTCTCTAGAGCAGATCTTTGAGACTCTGGCGGAAGGTCAGCAACCAAGGGGACAACACCATCAATGGCACTTGGCCGCGAGGGTTTTCGGCATGAGCTGACACCAAAACGGCACGTAGCAACCGAGAAGAAAAGGTAAAAGCACAAGCGGACAGCCGAATGCGAAGCACACGCCGCCCATTCCGCATATTTCCGCATCACCTGGACCCACAGTGTACAACGGCTAGCGAAGTGGATCCTCAGTTTCGAAGGCTGACAAGATGGGATCTGGATCGCATGTGCAAGTCTAAGAGCTGTTCTACGTACTCAGAATTAGCGCAGAACCAGTCACGAAGACAAGGGTGGCAACACAAATCCAAACGACGACCAAACAAACGCAGAAGCAGGAGGAGGCACAGATCAATGCGACGGCGACGCGCGTCATCTTCATAATGATGAGGTTTGTTTTTTTTGGCACACTCGCGCAGGGCGGGCGCATACGTGATTACAATAACCCCCCACCCTCACCACCCACCCAACCAAGCCGTCAACGTGGGAAAGTTTTCGCCAAGCAAAGCAGAATTCCATCGGCTGTCTTTATAATACCGTAGTACAAATACAAGCAGTAGAATTGTTGCCTACATGCCTTCATGTCACGGCATTCTTGCCGCAGCCCTGCAAATCCCAATGGGGACTCTGTATTTTTCGACCCCAAGCTGTTGTTTTTGTTTGCCATAAATGGAGGTCCAATCTGGTTGGAACAGCTGGGTCTGAATCCCAAGCCAACCTGGTGCTCACACTACAAGTCCGCAAGTATGAGGAACCTCTAAGATGAGTGTTCCAGGTCGCAGAATTGTAAGCTGCAAAAGTCCCATATTCAGGCCACGTTTGGCATCCAACGCAGAACAAAAGAGATGGTGCACGCTGAGGCGCCTGGTGTTCTCCTGCAAGGTCTGAGCCCGCCTCTGCACCTGGCAGCACGCCAACCCATGGACCAATCACCTTCCAGTGACTGGGGTTCGCCTATAGGCTTGCTTGTGGAAATGATCCTGGTGGTCATTGACATGGTCGCAGTAGCTTTCCCAACATGTTTCGTGAAGCTTGAACGTGTGTCCTGCCTGTAAGGCAAACATCTTGGTCCATTGGTGGTGTGCAGTGTAAAAAACATTTACATGCGCACTTGTGCTGACAGCATCGAACTTTTGCAACCTCATCTGAGCCGTGTTGCCAATTTTTAGTGACGTCTGCAACCTGTCAGGCAATAACAACTCAACTTCATTGATAGGCATCAGTGCGGCATCAGCATCAAAATTCCTGAGCACACCCGTCCAGCTTCCAGGTTGAGCTCCAACTTGGCCACACTCTTTGAACACACGAGCAATAGGCAAATGCCTCAAAGCGCGTGCCTTGCACAGGGTGGGTGAGGGTGGGCTTCTTGCTGTGGTTGAACGCTTTGGGTGCGATTGGGGTGGGATCCTTGCAGATGAGCGCGAGGCGACGCAAAAAGAGGTATGAACTAACAACGATGCGGACTCCCAAAAGGCCGCAAGCTCCCACCGAGCCTCAGGGTCTGTCAAGCAGCCCTGGGTGCAGCTTGGCTTGTGCACCCGTCAAGGGAATTGAGTTTTGAATGCAGCTGCGAAAGCCAAACTTACCTAGCACATGGTCCGGGGCATCCATTCGCGTCCCTTTGCAATGGGTTGGCATTGCTGGCATTGAGCATTCCCTGGTGCAATTTCATCGCCATGCCTGGTCGGCATCCTCACCTGCAAATGCAGAGGTCAAACGAGCACATGCCATCCAAATCTGACAAACCTGCATCACCTTCCTCGTAACATGATTGCAGGTGTAGTCTTCATCACAAATGGCATAGCCGTATGCAAGAACATGTAAAGGAGTGCCAAACGCGCATGCAGCATGCGCATTCAACCAGCCCGGCCTAGCTGCATGGCCTCCTGACAAACGTACTTTCTCTTAGGCAGCTTAGTACCCATGCCATGAAACGAAAGGGACAATTCTAGGTGAAGTTCTGGGGCGGAGCAGACTCCAGATCAAAATCTGCACCTTTTGAGGGGTAAGAACTGTTGTGACAAACTTTCAACTGACAGCAATTCCGCGACTTGAAGCTCGAAACGCATCGTCTCCCGTCCTCACAACCCGCTTGCACTTTTGCATGGGGGAAGAGGGCCTGCAGCCGACGCCAGTCCAACGGGAAATGAAATGTCAAAGCAATGTTCACATCTTCCATTTGCTTGCAAGTGCGCGGCTGCAAGCTCCAGCCTTCAAGGTGCATGCAATGCTTTCTGCTCCAGCTCCGCCTTGGAGGGAATATTAAATGATCTTGAGGGCATTGGGATGTGGTTCTGGCCACGTCACGCATGGGTACTGTAGTGCGCTGGTGGGCTGGTGCCAGTTTGGAGGGCCATGGTCGAAATCAGTGGAAAACACTGCCCAATGGTTCGAACATGATGTTACACCCCAGAGCTTTTGTGTGGACGGGCCCGGCTTCTGCCCTCTGGGTGGAGGGGAGCAAGGGCTATTTCCTTTGTTAGTTGCCCTGCCTTCCGCCTTGCCTGGCTTTGGCAAAGGTGGTGGCGCAACTTTCGAAGGAAAAACACTCGCTACAAAGGTGAGCCTCTATTAAGCACTTCAGAACGGCGCCCATTATAACACAAAGCCGCCCAAACTTCCGTGCGAACCAAATTCCCTCCACATAAAACAAGCTGACGAGAACCTGTATTCCCTAATAAGGCCATACTACACAAACATGGCCGACGTGACACCACAATCTCTGCACTCGGCGACCGGCCCATATCAGCCTCCTCCTCGGCATTTGAAAGCTGGCCGGTCAGTCCCCCTATGCAAGAATCAAAGGAAGTGCATCCTGCACTTCTCTTAGCCTCCAAGAAGAACAAGGATGAAACTCCAAGGCCCCAAGGCTCTTGCAATGCCAGGAGGCCGTGAGGGCCCAGTCCTGAGAAGTGCAAGACTTGCACAGCACCTAAGCACCTTGCCAGTGCATTTGTTTGAGCCCGACTTTGTTGATCTGGATTCGGGTAGCAGCGACTAAAATGCAATTCGTGTGATTGCATGAGCTACGAAACCAGGTCGCTTCTTCTAGAAAGAAGCCTGTGCACGATCCAATGGTGCTTGGCCAGTGGAGCGCTAGGGCACAGGATATCTAGATTTGGCGACCTTTGCAAACTCTTCAATTCCGGTACCTTCAACGGCCGCAATGAATTCAAGCCACAAGGCCTGTAATCAAAAGTGAATTAGGTGCCCCGGCAGCGGTACCCAACAGCCCCCTGCCCAACAACAAGGGCTGAATGCAAGAAGTCGAAGAAGTCGCTGTCCTTTCAAAGACTCTGAATCCAAGGGCTTCGGCCGGCTTCCTTCGGGCCACGCTGGAAAACCTATGCACAATATTCGGCGCCAGGCCGTGCCCCCTTGGCACAAAGGCTTTGCATCTGGCCCAGGGGCCTCAGCACTCGTAAGGGCCTTCGTGGCCGCGGCAGAAAAGGTCGTGGGTGTTCTCCACCAAAATGCCCCCAATAATTGCCCCCAAATCGCCGATGAAGCACCAAAAGGAGTAGGATGCAAGGTTGTGCTCGCGCGGCACCTGGTGAACAGTGAATTGAACCAAGTTTGCTGGAGTGCTCTCTCTCGCACCTGGATGGGTGGGCGTGTCTCTGGCTCTTTCTTCGTCTCTTTGCTTGTCTCTTTGTCTCTCTGTTTGTCTCTGTCTCTTTCCGTGTCTCTCTGTGTCTCTCTCTCTTTCTCCCCCTCTCTCTCTGTCTCTCTCTCTCTCTCTCTCTCTCTCTCTCTCTCTGTCTCTGTCTCTGTCTCTGTCTCTCTCTCTCTCTTGCCTCTTTGTCCACGTGGTTGTTCGTGAGTCCGTAGATGGTGCCATTGCCCCAGAAGATAAGGAAGATTGCCAGGGGAATGACAATGGCTATGGCCAGGGACTCCAAGTAAAGACCGATGATGATCAGGGCCATGGCACCACCGAGGTACATCAAGCGCCTGGCCAGGCTCGGCGTGGCCAGGTACATGGCGATACGGCGACTGATGGAGTCCCCCAGGAAGATGAAGATGTAAGTGATGGCGAAGAACTGCCCCCAGTCCATCAAGTTCTCCTCGCCTGAGTCACTGAGGCATCGGCAAAATTGGCAAAAGTGGAAGATTGGACTTCCTGGAGCCTGACTGGAAAGTTGCAACATTTTGCCAGGCTGCTCTGCGAGTCGAAGAGAGGCACCTTGGGCGGGTGGAACATGTAGAAGATCGCCGGCCAGTTCTCCATGGCGAAGTGGCTCAGGAACTGCGCCGCAAAGAAGGGCACCATGCCTGGCATCCACGTCCCCGCCTGGCACGGAGCAAGGAACCGGGCAATGTCCCTGGCCCACAAGATTGCAAATACAGAGAGACAGAGAGACAGAGAGACAGAAAGGCAGAAAGGCAGAGATAGAGAGATAGAGAAAGAGAGAGCGAGAGAGAGAGAGAGAGAGACACAGAGAGACACGGAAAGAGACAGAGACAAACAGAGAGACAAAGAGACAAGCAAAGAGACGAAGAAAGAGCCAGAGACACGCCCTCCCATCCAGGTACGCAGCCACCCAGCCAACCATCGACACACATCGACGAGAATGCGCAGAATATAATCCCAATTGTCTTACATTTTCGACACCAGAGCAAACAGTACTGCAGCGCCAACAAACAGGACCGTCGTACTGTTTGTGCTGTGGGGGGAGCGCTTGGTGTGCAATGTGCTTAGGAAAGGTTCAAGCACAACTAGGTTTGACTTTGAGTGGCAAACGTCACAGTCAATAAATAGCAGCTTCCCCCAGCCATTCTCAGCCCACCCGCTCTTCTCTCACGAGCCTGCTTGAGGGACACCGCAAAGTTTGCAGTGTGCAGCTCTGTCTTCTCAGTCGGGGAGAACTTCATGAAAAGGCAGATGCCGAACGGTATGCATGCCACGATGTACCTGATCCCAAAAGCTGCGCAGGGCAACTGCCCAATAAACGTGATCATGCTAGGATTTTGTGGACCCTAATTAGTTGGTCCTGATGGGCTGCATACATGGTCAACAGTCAGGCACATTGCAGCGGGACATTCCTCTGGAACACCGCCCTCAAATCACTCTTTCAAGTTACCAGTAGAGTAAGACTGTAGGAATGCCGAAGGAGGTCAGAGTGAGGCCCAGGATGTTGATTGTCGCGAAGCCAGCCGGAGCTCCGATGATGGCCCAACTCTTTGTCGCCTGCGCAGGCGTGTCACCGAACCCGTGCCCAATCAATGCACGCAGCATGGGAAAGAACAACGCATCCGCAAAGAAAACGCAACTCCACAAGGCAAGCACCGGTTGGGAGCAGTGCGGACTGGGCACTTGTTTCGGGGCACGCATGCCCTGCCTTCCCAAGCGGCGTGATCACACTGAGGAAAGTCACCTCAAAGATCCCCAAGCCCAAACCGGAGAGCACGTATGAAAAGAACACGGAATAGACCCAGTGCCACTTCAGAGTGAAAACCAGCAGCGGCGGGATCGCAACGCCCACCAACCTGAGCTGCAGCATGATTTACGCCTATTTGTCAAGTCTGCACAAGCAAGAACGAGTTACACAGATGGCGGTTCAGGATGCATTCATTGCAGTCGCGAACTCGGTTCGGGAGGGCATTGAATATGACACAGCGGCCAGTTGCCAATTTTTGGGAGGCTCCTGGCAGATCAGAACGGGAGGACCACTTGTCAATTGCCAACCACTTGCCCATTTAGGTGCCCCCAACAGCACGAAACGTGAAGGCAGGTTGTGCGCTACACTGAACGCCTGTCAATGTCAGTGCCAAAGCACATGCAAAACATCGCAATGATCACCCGTGTGCGCGGGCTCAGGCAGTAGAAGAATACATTGTGGCCCAATCTCGCCACCAGCTTTCCATAGTGAACGCCAACAGCTGCCTGGCAAAAGGCCAATTAGAAATCCAGGCAACGACAAAAAAGGTCTGCCTTCATGCCCGTCCAATTTGATTGATCAAAACATTTTCCCAATGAATGGGCTCGTCGTATGTGGCTTGTTGGCTTTCCGTTTGCAAACAGGCATTGTCCGCACTTTTGGGGTCTGGTTTGCAGAAAACCCAATGGGCAGCCCCAGCCTGGGTGAATATGTGTGCAGCGTTTGTGCCGTGTGAAATACCCAGCTCATGCTTGTAGGCCGATTGCAGCGGGCCAACCATGGAGGCATAGCCCTGACAGGCAACACACCGAGCTGCAAGTTGCAAGCAGAATGCAAACCTGCGGTCCTATGGTCAAGGAACATGCTTCCTGACACAGCGTGCCCACGCACCTGCCTGGAACATGCTAAGCATCACTATCATCATGACTCGCGTCGGTGGCTGCCTTGGAAACTCAGCGCTAAAGTTCCAGATCATCAATCTGCTAAACCTAGCGAAGGACCTGCATGAAGGATGTGTCAAGCCTGCAGTCGAATGTCATGAGAGCATAGCCTATGACATAAAATCAGCTCTTGTTGTGCATCCGGGCTGCTCTGGCTGGATTTCCGCATCCTTTTCGATGATCTCCACCTTCTCCTGGGGTGAAGGCGTGCTAACGGGCAAGCAAACAAACAAACAAACAAACAAACAGACAAACAAACAAACAAACGAATCGACGGGACAGGACAGGACAAACACACAACTTGTTGAACCACACAAACACACTTGGTGCAGCTGGTCCCTCAGCTAAGTTTCAGTGTCTACCTTGTTCAGGCTGTCCGTCTTCTGCGTCTGCTCCATCGGGGTGGTTTCTGTTCTGGTGACCCCCTCGTCCGCGACGCCCTCAAAATTCTGATCATTGTGATCTGGCGCCATTGTGCAGAAGGCAACAGAGATATGCTTGGGCCTCGTGTCTTCAGGAAGAGATTGTGAATGATATGCAGGTGATGTGGGCCAAAACTCCAAGCACCGCAAGAAGGCTACGTGGCTACCTGCAAAACTCTCCGCGCCCAGCTGAGCCCAGTGCAGGTCGAAGTCATCGGACTGCAAACGTCAGGTCGGAGCTTATGATCAAAGCGACCGGCAAACAGTGTACCGGTCGGAGTATGAGCATGGCTGAACTCCTTTCCTAGTGCTTTTGTGACATGCTGGGGTGAAGCATGTTGAATTTGCTGGTTTACTTTGCTGGACTGCACGCTCAAGCAATCTCTTTGTGCTAAGTCCGAGGCCACCAATCCTTGGCCGGCAGTGCTTTTCAGCGGCATGAGGAGGAAGGAAGCGGGAAAATCAAAGAGGTGAGAAGAATCGGGATACCTGTCACTTTCATGGTTGGAGTGCAACATGCAGACAAGGGCAATACAACCTAAAACAACAGTTTCAGCAAGAATGACGGGACAGTGACTTACGCCTGCGTTACATGTCCACTACCCATTGTAGGCCAACACTGTTGCTTGGGCCCACGCCTGGCGTCCAGGCTGACATTTGCGGGAATCTCCATGCCTGCGGGGTCAGCACCAATTTGTCTTGGTCAATCTGGATGGCACGGACTACATAAAAAGAACGGCATGCTTACCTGAGCGATGCCGAAAATAGGGTACATAAAGCCCTCTACTAACAAAGCGCCTTCGCGGAACCTTTCGCGATGCTTTCGCGGCCACAAGTTTTACTTTCGCGTGCATGTGTTTTGTGCGGAGCTTTGGCGGGCAAGGCAGAAACTGGACTGCAAACATGCACTTTCGCCAAGCTTTCGCGGCGGGCTTCGCAGGCTTTCGCACCCGGCGTTTTAGCTTTCTCAAGGCTTCGTTAGGAGAGGCCATCAATTATCTCCTTTCATAACGGTTGTTGGCGCTGCCCACCAGGAGGCAACTACACTGCGATTGTGCTGCCTTCCCCCCCAAAGCATTCCCCCCGCCCCCGCCGCAAAGAGAGCTGCAAGCGCTGACAGAAGCCAGATTTTCCGTCAAAGCTAATTTGATCAACTCCGTCTTTGACCTGGCAATCCCTTGTCAACTCGGAAGGTTGAAGCTAGACGGAGTGCCTGCATGGTGTCCTTCGGGGGATATGTTTTAGAGACTGCTAGGCCTACCAGCCTGGAGCAACAGCCTGCCTCGCTCGCCCACGGCTCATTGACGTAGGCGAGCAATTCCGGACTCAGACGCGAGCTATGCTCTGCTCTGTCTGGGAACACCCCCCGCCCAATCTGCAAACAAAAGGGGCGGGGCCAGGGCCGATTGAGACATGACATACTACTTCCATGGCATGGGCAATCACACACAAGCCGAAAATCCTTGAACGCAATCCCTAGCTTTTGGCTTAAGCTCCGAGGAGTTTCTGCCAGGCCAATGTTGGGGACGTGGCTCTTCAGCCTCTGCCATGGCACTGAACTTCCGCACAAGCTCCTCTGCCTGGCCGTGTCGTCACACACGTTTGTGCTTTTTTCTCAGCATGGCGTGCGGACTGGTAAGAAAACAATGTTGCGAGGTCACAGGAAGTTGCAGCCGATAGCTTGTTCTCAGCCTGGTTGGAACAGCTCAGTACCAGGTGTCCAGTGTCTTCTGGCCATGGCAGCTGCCCTCCGAGCCTCTTCCAAAGGCACGGAGTACCGCTGAAGCACAGCCTTCGGTTCCACGCAACAATGCCGAACAAATGCCATGCTTATCTCAGAAAGCCGCCTTAGCTCGTACATAGGTGGCCAAGGAACGTCATGTCACAAGCCACAAAGTATCAAGGGACTCACCTTGCGCAAGGCTCAACATACAATAGGGTGCCGTGGTTCAAATGGGGTCTCCCCATTCAGTTGTTCTAGTTTCCGCACAACTGAAACATGGAACAGCCAGTAGAAGTCCAACGAGGTGCCCTGTTTCCAAACATCATCGAAGTGCACAGGTTTTAGGAGACTACAATCCTTTTGAAAACGGCCCCCGATCATCCCTTCTCCCCTTCCATGATTGGAGAAAGGATAACCCCCCGCCCCAATCCCCGCTTCCTCAATTCCATGTTTAAAGGAAAGGATGCCGAGGCAAGGGCGCGGCAACAGCCGACATGAGTGATGAACTCTTTTCGTTCCATCTCCCACTGCGCCTGAGCAATGCATGAGCTTTCGACGGTTCGCTGAAGAAATGCTGGCCTTTTCGGGAAGCCTTGGCCTTGAGAAGAGACTTGGATCACTGAAGGAAAAAGTTGAACCCACCCTAAGGACCCAAAGCCCCCCCCTAGCGCCTGCAGCTGCTGCTTCTGCTGCTCAAGGCCTCTCCAGCCCCAGGCTTCTGATGGCTGATATGGACCGGGTAAGGGAGAAGTTACCTTTCCATGACCCTTGGGCAGTGGTAGAAAGAGCAAATTGAAGTTGCACGGTACTTTCGGGGCGCTTGCAGGGATCGTGATTGCACGATAGCGCACTTTTTTCCTCCCAGTTCCTTGCTCTTTGTCTGCAACCTGGGCCCTGAAAAGCAAGAGGAGGCCGGGGCCCAACTCGTAGTGGAGTTTTGGGACTAGGCGCATGAGCCCCTGCATGGTTTCAAGCAATGAACAACGCAGTGATGAGCAAGTCATTGCAAATAAGGAAACTGACGCTGGTACTTCTTTGGAAAGTGTTGAGCCTATAAGGGCCAAGCCGCCATCTCTGCTTTTAGCGTAGAGCTCCACGGGTGTGCAGCCGCTTGGAACGTCCATGCATGTTGGATTAAATTATAATGAAAGCCTGGCACGTAGATCTGGTCCTTGCGGTCCTGATTTCAGACCAAGGATCCCAAGCTTTGGTTGCCAGCAGCCAAAAATAGCAGACATGCAAGAAATACGTCAGTGGCCTCGCATAACAAATGAGATGAAATGAGAACGCGATGGTTTGGAGGGCGCTCCCGCTAGCTTCTTGAATTCTACGCGGCGTTGATGGTATATCAATCAGCATCTTGGCTGCCTGTTTTGGCTGGCATCAAACATACTTCACCGTCAGCCCGCGCACGCCCAACTCAGAATGCACCTGGCAACACGTTGCGAATGGAGGCGGCAACGCCCAACGTATCCAATGTTGACCGCTGTCCCAAATTACGAAAGCCGTGTTCGATGCTCGCTGCCGATGGTGTGGCAAGAAAAAAAACAGTGGCGGGCAATGTGAAGGCCCCAGCTGCACAGCATCAGCTACAGCGCCTCCCAGCCGATAGTCTCATCGCTGGCACCCAAGCGGTCGCACTTGAAGTCCGGCTCATTGCAAGACCCGGACTTTGGCACGCTGGCCTACGAGGCCGAAGTCTTTTCAGTAAAAAACAAAAATGGAACCGTGGCACTTACTGCCTTCCCTCGCCATACTTTGCTCATTTCCCCTCCGGGACTTTGGGAAGTTGCACCTGCTTCCCCCAGTGGCTGCCACATGAAAAAGTTGTTCTTGTACCAATGTGCACGCCCAAATGTCAGAAAAATCCCATTGCTGGCATCCTGGCAAATGTACACTAAATACATACCTGCATGCATGCGCGCATATATGCAAACATGATCAAACAACGTACACCACACATGCATGCATGCATACGTACACACGTACGTACTTACATAACTATTTGCGTTGAAATTCGCTGCGTTGCATTGCGTTACAAAAATTCACGTCCATACATGCATACGTACATGTAGACATTGCATACATACATACATAAATACATACATACATACATACATACATACATACATACATACATACATTACATTACATTACATTACATTACATTACATTACATTACATTACATTACATTACATTACATTACATTACATTACATACATTACATACATACATACGTACTTTACATTACATTACATTACATTTCATACATACATACATGCATACATATTACATGCACACGTAACACAACAAACCGCAACATGACATGCAATGCATGCATGCATTCATGCGTATACACATGGACACGCAAACACAGACACACACATATACATACACATATACACACATACACACTTACACACATACACACACATGCACGCATGCATACATACCACTGCATTGCATTGAATTACATTAAATTACGTGCAAAACACGACACTTATTATATAGATGTCCTTCGTTCGCTCATACATGCGTTCATGCAGGCACGCACACGCATACATACATACATGCATACATAGGTACATGACTACACTACATGTCATACACTGACATAATATACATTGCGCTGCATCACAATACAATACACTTCATTGCAATGACTTCTGTACATATGTATACGTATTTACGTACTACATACATACATCCTACATACCTACATGCTACATACATAAATACATACCGTATTTGTTTTAAAAAAAAATGCAACATTGCAATACATTACATTTTTGGCCTGGGCGTCCCTTCGGCTCCAGCCCAGTCGAAACTTGACATTGTCAAGCAAAAGCGACATGCGGCTCAATCCACACCTATAGCTTTGAAGTCGCAATATGACTTCATGCAAGCCTTGCCTAAAGGGGGTCAATACTTGCCTAAGAATGGGCAGCAGGGCCTGCAACAGAAGGTCCATACGCTGCCGTAAAGGACAATTCTGCACGAGAAAATACCGGAATACATTACAATACAATACAAAGACACAAATATGCGTATTACATACATACCATAACATAACAAAACTACACAACCTTACATTGCATCATATGACATAACTTTAACATAACACGACATTACATTACACGACAAAACATAACAGTTACATTTGCATTGCACGTACGCTACATTTACATTGCATTCCTCTGCACTATCCTCAATTGCTTTGTTTGCAGTACATTCGGGCAGTCATACATGCATGCAGGCATGCATACATACATGCAGCACAAGGCCGCGCGCCCATATGATTCAGTGCTGCCCTAGCTCCTCCATGGATGCCATATTCATTTTATTAAGAGTTGAGTTGAAAGCAGCGGGATTTCTCAGGAAGTGGCCTGCCCACACGCCCTGGTGCACGACGCCTTGATGATCATCGAGAGGATGCTTTGGTCATGACGGTTCTCCTTCCTCTTGTGCCAAGGGCCGTCAAGGAGTTTGTTCCTGGCGCAAGGGTGTGATTGAAAAGCACATCGGCTAATCATGCTAAACCTCGCCAATTGTCTAAGCCACGGACACACGCCAAAGCGTTCAACTTGCGTTTCCCAGGGCAAGAGTACCAACTCATTGCCAACTCACAGTTGTTGCTGGAGCTTGTCCACATGCATATGCCCAGCACCACACCCCCAATCCCGCCACTGAAGCTGTTTGGAAGTGCTGTGGCGCACCTTGACGGCTCATCGGAGACTAAATGGAAGTCCTTGGTATCCGAATTTTGCTCGCTGTGCATCTGTCTATAAACCATACTTGAGTATGGCAAATGGCGGGATGAGCTTGCTAGGCACTATCAAGAAAAGAACTTGACACTTGTCAGTAAGCCAGGCACGAATCTTGGAATAATGATTGAGGTACCAAACGCAAGTCCAAGTATCAGTCATCAAGGCCTCCCAGATCTGCAAGAGCTTCACGGTTCGCTCATTCAGGCGCATAAGGTAGGCCTGACCAGCGTTCCCTGGTCCCAGGCACAAGGTGCGGGAAAAAAGGCCTTGTTGAGGCACCGGGAAAAATTGAACCTTCAATAATGGAATCGTCAATGCCATGATTTCAAATGGAACATATGTCAATTTACCCTGGGCTGAGCTCCCCAAAACTATGCAACAACAAAAAATAAGGGCCACAATGAACGAAAACGAACCACGAAGTCAAAGCTGTGCGCCTGTGCCTTTGGCTGCTGCGTGAGGCCATAGTGCAAGCTGTCCCAGGTGGTGCCGAAGCGTTGGAAAATGTCCCCCTTGGTCCAAACCTTACGCTGAAAATTATCGGCCTGCGCTTGCAAAAGGCCCATGCGCCAAAGCATTGCAAATGACGCTTCTCCTAGGCTTCTGGCATGCTCGCAATGGGGCTGGGCTGCAACGATGATGTCCTGTCCAGATCCCCCCCCCCAACAACAAAACGTGAGCACGTTTTACCCTCCGGTAAGCTTGACATAAAGTAGGCACAGATTTGGCCAACAACCGCCAGACATGGAGCCAGCCCCCCGCCCAGCACCAGGCAGCACCCGAGCCAGCAACTCCTGATTGTGCTGCTTTTTTAGCTTGATAAGGTGCTTCATCATGCCCATGGAGTCAGCATCTACCTGACATGAACATGGTCGATGCCCACAACACTTGATTCGGTCGAGCAGGGTCAGAGTCGAGCAGCATAAAGCAGCTCATCACCCAGCTGCATGACCTTGGCTGCTTGGCTAACATCCCGAATCTGCTGAGAGCAGATGGCAAAGAAGATAAAATAGCACGTCGACTCACTTCAGCAATGGAAAAAGAGTCACGATCTGTTCCACCATTCGGAACAGCGTTTGATTTCTATCTTTGCCAACTGCAACTGTTGCACTGCTGCAAAGCCACGCCCTGCTCCAGCAGCATTCGGGCCAGCGCCGCCTGTCGCACCGCGACTGTATCTTGGCAAGGCGGTGGCAAGTGAATCGGAAACTGCAAGCCGCAGAACTCAGAGGGGACCAATCAGAAACTAGAAGTCGCTAGAAGTGCCGAATCAAAAAGACCAGAAACTCGCAAGATGGTCGGAACAGGACTGTCGGGACAGTCAGGATGGCCGAAATGGAAGCAGTCTGGATTATGGGGACGGTTGGGATGACTCGGGTCATGCGTCCAATCGCGACCGGCCGTCGCTAACCATCCCGACCCCAAGCAACCACATCCACATTCGTCAGCTCAATTCTCTGATTCAGCCCCTTTGTTGCGGATCCAAGGTTTCATCACCTGCAGTTTACTACTGACCACGGGCCTCAATACAGTGCCTGCTGGATCAAAGATTCACATGGAGCCTAGAGCGCACACTGAGTCACTGAAGATCTCCCCCGCAAACGAGTCTATGAGGGTCACTTCCATTGGCTTTTGTGACTTACCCTTTTTCCAGGCTCCTCCACACCAACACCAAGCGACACGCGCCACGCCTTCCAAAACCAGTAGCCACGGCCGCGCACACCCGGCCTTGGCCGTATAGGTCAAACATATTCAAAAAACAACAACGACGACAGCAGCCACAGGGGACAACGACTACGCAATTGCAACCGATGACAACTTGCTGAGCCTCCTGCATCAAAAATGGTTGTTTGGGCATGAGCTACTGAGTTCATTATGGAAGTTCTTGGTATGATGGCTTTCCCCCGTGCCATCAACATACACTGAGGGCGC